ACATCCTTGGTACGATTACGTGGTAGTGTAACATAAGTTTTTCAGCAACTCGATATGGCAACACGACATCGACACGTTTCAGAGCATCTAGAACTGTATAAGTCTCGATGGAGTTAAAGTCTTTTTTATAGCAACTGTTCCACAGCATTATATTTTTCTTAATCATCAGCATTTATAGCCCTGTTTGCTAGTTCTACACGAGGATAGACATTCAGTAAGTATCTTACTATATTGCTTTGTGTTATAATTTACTACGATAGTTGCCAGTTTTTATATTTTATTAAATATAATGACTTCAGCAATATATATTTTTCATGTAAAACCAACTCAGTCAGTGGTTATTTGTCATTTTTCTTTTTTAGACCATTAGAACAATTTCTAAATATAACAAACTTATTCATTGATACTCAAAAATGTTTGAGTATACACATACTTTTATAGTTTAGAACTATTCTACATCAACCAGCTTACTAAAAATCAAACCGCATGCAAATCGGTTTATCCTTTGTGGATAGTCACAGATATAAAGTAAGAAAAACTTCAAAACTTACAGATTCAAATCCAGAATTTTAATCCACAAATGAAATCATATCGACGACTAGAAAATTTCTTTGCAAAATAAAAATCCAGGTTCTTATAGCAGATAGCCTTTTACTTCTTTAGACCAACTGAGAAGATTAAGCTGTGAGTTCGACGACTTTTGGAACGTTTTATTTTAGAACTCTCTTTGTTCATCGGATAAAACTTCATACCAAACCCTTCTGGAATGTATATCTAAAAAAGATGTAAGTACTTTGATTTCAGAACTTTGATATTAGTTTCAACTTCAAATGTTGTCTGGTATTAAGTTGTTTATTAAGTTTTTCGTGAATGTCGTTTCGGTTTATTGAAACGGTTGTAAAAGAGGCAGACCGCAACCGATTTTTGCTTTAATGGCAGCCTAGGCTATAGTCAGGCCCATAAAAGGGCAATTCGAAAGTAATATCTTATGTCTTTTTACTGAACTAAGTTGAATAAAAAAATAATACCTTTTCAAGAAAAGCAAAATTTCGGATATGGGCTTATTACTTCCTCTGGTACAAGAGCCGTAGTGGATACCCAGTTCTATCGGCAAGCTACCCAGTTGCATGAATGAAATTAAACAACAAATATTGGAAAATAATCACTGCTGTTATCTTCTAAATTACCTAAAATATAATGTAAATCCATATAAATTGGTACAAAAAAGGAGTAACAGCGTAGTAGCAAACAAGCAAGCAAGACAAGCAAGTAACACCTATTTTAAAACCACAAAGATCGTGCACAATTGGTTCACTGAAACCAATTTTTTTTCCTAATGACCTGACCTAATGTGTGACCTATTTTGTCTAATATTTTCTAAAGTAGTCACGCAAAATTTACAGGCGATTTTTTATGGTTTTATCTTTGATATAATTTATAATACAATTTCTAAGTATGAGCTTACGACAGTATTTCAGAAAGTGGCGTAAACAATTGTCACTCTTCCAAGAATCCCTTGCGTGGGCGCTTCAGACTCTAACTATAGTCATTGCTTTGCGAAGAACCCTTCTAGTTTAATATTTCTTTTTCATACACATATATTACAACTGCTAATTATTATCGCAATTCCCTAAAACTATTATTACTGTAAACAAGCCAGAATTATGTTACTTGTTTAGACATGTGTAAACTTAATATTTGAGTATTAAACCAATTTAACCATGCTTTGTCGATAGTACAACCGGCTTCCCTTTTTGCACTGGTTCAATCTTTTATAGGCAACCATAGAATGCCTTGTTGCATTGACTGCACGGTTCAAGCGGTCCACGCCGCTTACTACTACGCTGAGTGTTGTGGGTCCGATCCCCACATGGGACGACACTGTGTGTGATCCACAAATTGTTGTTCTGAGTCTGAGTGTTCTTTGTGGCCGTTCCATGTATGTTTGTAAAGTCTCGCATGCAGCTCATGCCAGCCATCTTGCGCAAATCGTCACTCCACCTGGCCTGTGTTACTACCCTACACTACGTTTGCCGAGACGCGGTCTCCACTCCAGAACTCGTTTTCCCCAACGGTTATCGGTTCTGCGGCTAATGTGGCCAGCCCGCTGCCACTTCAGCTTGCTGATCCGGTAGGCTATACCGGTGACCTTGGTTCTCTGCCGAATCACCTCCTGATGCGATCCCTTAGAGAAACGCCGAGCATTGCCCTTTCCATAGCACGTTGAGCAACTTTGAACTTGTGGACCAGCCGTACCGTAAGTGGCCACGTTTCGGCTCCATATGTCATGACGGGTAGTATGTACTAGTAGTATGTATGCACTCGTTGAAGACTTTCCTCTTAAGGCACTGTGGGATCGACGATGAGAAGATTAGACGTAGCATCCCAAACGCTGCCTAACCCAACTGAATTCTTCTGTTCACCTCGTCCTCGAAGTTGTTTCTACTTAACTGCAATGCCTGCCCGCAATTAAATTATTCTAATAGTACTAATATAAATTTATAGCAGGTGCCTAGGTACATAATGACTCCGTCAACATCGATTTTGATTTTATAGGAAGACAATCTAGCACGGAATTCAGTTCTTCACAAGAATTGTAAATCTTCCAAGGATCGATGTATAAATATTGAGTAAGTCTCTTTCAGTGGCATTCATCATCATCATCATTATCATCATCATCAAAAGCCTCTTATAGTCCACTGCAGGACTAGGTCTGTCCTTAGAAAAGAGGTTTTGGCCTATTATACCACGCTGGCCAAACGGGTTGCTATAGGGTTTATTTCAAGTTTTTCTTCTCTTTGCAGTGCTGTTGTCCTGCGTAGTTTGTTCCCTTAGTCGCCTCTTACGACACCCACGGGATGAATAGGAGTGGAGTGGAGACAGTCTGTATTCTTAATCCGTCACCACACCGGCGAATCCGTCACCACACGGACTTAATTAAGTATCAATGTTATGATTCACGGTAATTTTATTTATTACTCTATTACATTGAGTCATATTATATAAACACAGATATTTATCTAAAAAATTTAAAGTGTGATTCCGATAGTTAAAATGTTTTAATTGAGTGCAGAAAAACATTAGGAGGGAAATGGCTATTTACGAGTATTATAGTAATAGCTACAAGGAAAAACAAAAGCTTTAATGATCCTATATAAAATATGCGTAAAGCAGACTATCTATTTGGTTCGATTTGTACTTAATGGCGACCGGATGGCATAGTGGTTTGTGTAACGGACTGCTAATTCAAAAGTCGCGGGTTCGATTCTTGCTCAAGTCAAACATTTGTGTGCATGAACATTTTATGTTTGACTAGCTGACCCGCGCAACTTCGTTTGCGTCTCTCAATAGTAATAAATTGTCTCCGTTTTTGAAACATTCTTCATTAGTGCTCCGCTCCTATTGGTCTTAGCGTGATGATACATAGCCTATAGCCTTCCTCGATAAATGGACTATCTAACACTGAAAGAATTTTTCAAATCGGACCAGTAGTTCCTGAGATTAGCGCGTTCAAACAAACAAACAAACAAACAAACTCTTCAGCTTTATAATATTAGTATAGATTTGGTCTGGGTGTTTCTTTTTATAAAAAGTATGTATTTACAAAAAAAAGTAAATATGTATTTATATCAGTTGTCTAGTAGACATAGTAGAAGCTCTGCTTAGTTTGGGACTAGATAGCGTTGTGTGAATGTGATAGAATATCATTAAAAAAAAAACAAGAAATATAACCATTATTCATGAATGAGAACTAATGCGATTATTAAATCCATACTTCTACTTATTATAAATGTGAAAGATTGTTTGTTTGTTTAAATAATAAGGTAATAAAATTATTTGACTGCGCGGATAGCGTAGTGGTTTAAGCGGTCACCTTGCCGCTTCCTACTACGCTGAGTGTTGTGGATCCTATCCCCACATGGGACGATACTTTGTTTGATCCTCAAATTGTTGTTTTCAGTCTGGATGTTCTTTGTATCCGTTTCATGTATGTTTGTAAAGTTCCCCACGACACAGGATTTATTCCTAGTACGGGAGTCAGCAAATACGAAGGCTACTTTTTACCGCGACAACCGACATACATGCGGAGCTGCGAGCAAAAGCTAGTATGACATACTTTAGAAGTTTGAGAAATGAAACGCGAAAGATTAAAGTTGGGATAATTTATGAATTTATGTGTGGATGTGAATAACATATAAGTACCAAGTTACCAATGCATACAAGGTACAATCATATTTCTAAGTATATTTATCCCTGTTCTAAAACCTATGAGCTTGATGTAAAATACATAATAAATAATAGAATATTATTTAATACGTCTTATATTTTGTTACAGTTTTGTCAAGGTACTACAATAGTGGTCTAAAAGTTTACTTACCAGGATGAAAATTTATATTCTATTGGAAAACTCTATAGGTACATAAAGTTTATAGCACATTATAAAGTATATAATACATAGAAATATATGGCAAAATAGACAGTCCACTTCGGTCAAACAGTCAGCCTAATTGAAAACCAGCGCCAAGCCTTCGTCTGACACAATGATGAATTAGGTCTGTTTTTGGCACTGTAATTCAGGCTGCAAAATTGTTTGCTACCTATATTTTTATGTGTTTCCAAATTAAACATTTTTTCTTTTCTTTCTTTCTTTTCTTTAAGCGATACTTATCCTAGAATATCATAAATGAAGTACTTGGTTTAAGTAACTGAAAGGACGTTATTGTCATACGAACACTATTGTTTTTTTTTACGTTGGCTAAACAATGTCTTTATACCGATGCGTGACGCTTCAAAACTGATATTTGTACTGTATTGACAATTGTACTTGGCAAAAAGTCTCTCTAAGTTACTACTAACAGTACCTAAATTGTAATTTGTATTTAACGACCATATGCTCTTTGTTACCTTCAAACTTATTTTTAAATTGAAGGCACTTTAGTTTACTAGAATAAATACGTTATGTGTTTCATGGTTAAACATTACAGTTAAATACTTGTATTTCACTCACCTTCTAACGCCACAAATAATATACCTCCTGCTAAACTATACAGACACAAACACAAACTAAGGAACAGATGCGTGAACCACTTCCTTGATAGCATTTTTAATCTGTTGTAAAACCAAAATGCAGTCTTCTCACCAGCACTTAAACCACTTTTTGCAGTATTCATTGTAAAGTCTTTGAAGCCTTCAAACTGCTTGAACATGAATTCGGACGCCTTATTGTGGTACAAGTTCATAAGATACGGATTACTATGAGGATCTGAAATGTGAGAACCTGGGGTCCCTGGAGGTATCCCAACGAATCTTGGTGGGCCCCGATAAATGGAGGCTCCAGTTGAAGGACCTCTCGATGTCATCGGTACCATAGTATCAGGTATTTGGATGGTTATCTTCGGCCTCACAGGCCTTTTTGGTGGCGGTGGAGGCGGATAAGTAGGTGGAACGTCCAAATTATCCATTTTTACCGTTTATGAACACTTAATTCAATGTTTATTGACACTTGGCTCGAATTCGCGGTAAAAGTTCACGAAGCGCCGGCGTCGAAATAGCTTCCAGTATTACATTGACACAGGTGAATTTTCTGTCGGTTGGCGTGAGTTTTCGGCAGACGTGCGTTGGTGCCCGTCGTGGCTGGACACTGATTTTATAAATAAAACGGGAGTTAGTGAGTGCTTTCCGTCGTGTCATCGGCTCGTATCTGAAAGTTATCTCATCAACCTGATTATTGCCAATTCGATTGAGTTCTCTGAACTTTATGCGTAACGCACCTGACTCTTTGTTCGCAGAAATTATAAATACTTATTAATTTTCATGAAGTAGTCTCAGTTCGCATTTAATGATTCAATATTTTATAAGCTATAATAAAATTGCTTCTCTTTTAGTATTTAACCGACTTCAAAAACAAAGCTAGAGATCTCAGAACTTGGTTATTTACGAATCGATTTGAAGAAATATTTTTTACTTGCACAAGAAAATTAATTAACATTTCATGATTAACACACCATTTCATTTGATTTGATAGCATCAAATAAAAGGAAAGATAACATAGATTAGAGCTATTTATATGTCGATTTACGAATGTTTCGTCAGTAGAATAGAAACGCCCTTTTTTCTAACAAAAAGCATCTTTTAACTCGCTTTATCAAGTAAGATTGTTTGGCCACTTATTAGTATATTGTTTAAAGTTTTACTGAGTAATACAAATAACATGTTTAAACATGGGGAACGTTCTTTTTACATTGTTTATACATTTTTAGACAAACGAGCACTAAAAGGTATATTAAATTAGGAATATTTAAAGTATGGTATGGTATGTATAAAAAATGCCGAAAACTTAATTTTTGAACAATATGGTGTAATTTTAAGGCCAAGCCAAGTATATATTTACTATTGAAGAGCTATCGTCCGGCACATATTGGCCAGCTCGACCTCGACCGAGCGAAACCAAGTCTTCACTCAAAGGCCGGCAACGTCCTCCTGTGACTTGTGATCCTGGGTTGCAAGCTCCCCCCTATCCCTTATACTCTACCAAAAAAATACGTCCGTACCACTTCTAAATTAGAAGAACACGAAAAAATCTGTATATTCTCCCATAAAAGAATTGGAGAGTTATTCCTGATTTCGGTCTTTGATTGCTTCAACATGTCTTAAGTTGCGCGTCCTGAAATACGACACGGTTTATGGTGTGCACAATTGCATTTCACAAATATTACTGCCAGATAAATGTGCTACAGTAGACCTATTATAATAAGTCTTAAAATTGACGCGAGCGTTGATTCTGGCAAATACCAGTATTACATAAGACAATCTTCAAGTGTCCTGTAACAGCACTACAATAGATAAAGAAAAAAATCATACCAACTTATGTAACTAGTCTTTTAGAAGTAACACTGAAAAGAAATGGCAAAACAAATAAACTTTGTCCGTATCGACGGAAAAGTCATGTATCCATTTGTCACACTTTATTTTATTACTTTCCTTTGCTAACCCTTATTGAGGTCCGAAAATAATCTAATAAGAGTTTCGTAATGTATCAGTCACAGTATCCTCCATTACAGTAACAATACGTAATGTGATTGTACAGATTCCAGATTCCTTCTAAGTTTATATTGATAACCAATGACGTGGATTATCTTCAGTACTAATATTTTAAGATTATTTTAACCACAAACAACCTACACAGAAGACAAGTGTTAAGCAATACAGTGTTTAACAGAGTGAGTGAGGAAACCGGAGCCAAAACCCCCTCCCCCCCGTTCCTGATTCTGGTAAGAGAATTAAAGAGAGACTTACTCTTTAGTTGCAGGTGTCCATGGACGGCGTTAGTCATTTACCATCTGGTGATAAATAAAAGAAACTTAAATCTATCAACTGTGAACAAATGGAAACTCTACAGGAGTGGAAAAAAGTCCAAGAAATTACTATCTGAGAACTATAATAAACTTGGAAAGATTAGCATACGCGGATATAACTTTTAATTTTTTTAAATTGAAATCACATTATTATCGATGTTGGTAGAATAAATTTTATTGGTCATAATGTGGGTGCCGAACTGTAAAACTAGGCACAATTAAGCACTCCGTTGTGGTGCCAAATACATTGTAAAACATCAAAATGGACTATAAATTGTACGTGAGAGACTCCACAAAAAAACCTTTTATACTATACTAGCTGTAATCGGCATTGTTTGCAATGCTACGTAAAACATAAAGAAATAAATAATTAAATGAATTTCATTAAAAACGAAAAAAAAACAGGCCAAAAACTCTCTACTCCCTACCAAAGTTTCATCGCAATCGGATCAATGGTTTCGAAACGCAATAAGGACAAATATCTAAACATTGATTTTCAGTTGTATAGAAGATAGATAGATTACACTAAAGCTTTATGTAATTATTTCCCTTATTATATCTTTGAAACTGACTTGAAAACTTAAGTTTAACCGATTTGTTCTTCAGCTTATCTTAATTCGTTTAAAATACTCCGATAACAACTTTGAGTAAGTCCGTCGTTTCCGATTTCAGTAACAAAGCAGAAATTACTCACAACAATTTAAGTATTGTTTTTTTTTCTGTATTTGAATGGCTTTCAAGACGTTACTTTGAAATCGTAATACTTAATTTAACTTTTGAAATGGATAGGGAACTTTGTTTGTTACTCTTGTTAAGGCCAGTTCTTAATTACAAGGCAAATCAACTTCACAGTCACAATATTGACTTAATTCTAAATGTTCATGAAAGGTTCGATGGACAAGAGGCTATGAAAAATAAATTTGTGACAACTTTGAACAACTGATGTGAGTTACAGAGAATTCCAACAGTGGAATTTATTTCATTGTACTAAAAAAACGAAGGGTCGGAATTGGTCTGAATATTTTTTGTGTTTTACGCAAAATCTTCGTCATTTCTAAACCGATACTATTTTCTTAGTTATAGTCTTCTAATATCATTCGAGTTTTAAGAAAATATTCCGTCTTTGAGGGTGGAAAATTAAGGTGTACTTTCACTTGGTGTAATTAAGATGAGGTTACCGTAGCCCAAACCTATCCTCCGCCTGATTGTGAGGAGGGAGAGCTTTAACGCACTAGTGACTCTTGAGTTACAGGTGTCCATAGCAAGCGGTAGTCACTTACCATCAGGTGTTATCCCCCTATATCTTATTTTTTACTAATTATCACAACTTTTTAGCGTCAGGGATATCTTTTTAATTGATAATTTAGTAATTGGTTATTGCATCATCATCAACAGTCTTTAATACTCATAGTCCATTATTGGACATAGGCCTCTCCTTAGAAAGGAAGTTTTGGCCTACTATACCACGCTGGCCAGAGCCATGCTGTTAATTACTCTGATTAAATTGACATGTATAATAACATAATAAAACGTACATTTAATAGGCATGTCTCCTCATTTTTAGGTAAGATTCCATGAGGTGTTTACTGTAAACTTTGTCCTCACGACTGTCCATGTACGACGGGCACGTTGCCAGATATATTGACACGGATCTCTCTAAATATATTTTACATGTAGTTTGTGTAAATATAGTAGAGTGTGAGTCTATAAATATTTATTATCTGATTTATATTATGACTGCGATTATGATTATGATCCTATGGGTCATACGATAATAATATAAATTTACATATAATCACAAAAATACTTCTGTTCCTATTTTAATCATATATTAATTACATAAATTTATTAATTTGATTTATTATACTATTTATAACAAACAAAATTAATAAATATAACAATATTAATTACATTTATGATTACAATAATTAATAGAAATCATTTAAGCGGTGGTAGCCTAGTGGTTAAAGCATAGGACTTGCGATCAAGTGGTCGTGGGTTCGAACCCTGACCAGTACACTACTGACATGAACCCACTCCTAACACAAGCAATTTAGCTTAGCGGGAGGGGTTAACGGGAATACTAGTAATTTCAGTTGCTAGTAGGCTCTTAATAATATCGTGATCGTGAAAGCGTACCCTCCTGGTGCCTCCAGTTGAGTCGTTGCTAGTCCCTGTTGGTTACGAAATGCGTCTAACCCTCCCTCAACGGCGATAGCACTAGTGCTTGTCAGCCCCTGCGTAAGCAGTGGGCCGACACACACCTGGATTCCATACGGATGCCACATCGGCCTCTGCCCACAACCCCTTCGCTCGTCCAGTGCAGTTCAGGTAAGTCGCACGTGGAGGTTACCAGACTCGCACCCCAGAACATTTGTACCTATGTATAAGTATTTGACACCCAATAATCCCTACTATATCCATACTAATATTATAATGTGAAAGTAAGTTTGTTTGTGAGGCATTCATGCCTAAACCCCTAAACCGATCTTAAAAATTATTTCGCCAATGGAAAACTGCATTATCAGCGAGTAACATAGGCTGGTTTTTACCGCGGTAATCAACATACACTGCGGGCGAAACCGCGGTCTGTCTGTTACGCTTGCACGGCTAATGCACGGAACCGATTTTAATGAAATTTGACATGAAGATACTTTGATTCTTGAGGAAGGACAGGCTACTTTTCACCGCGAAAACCAATATACACAAGAGTGGAGCCACGATCAAAAGCTGGTTTAAGATAAAGTGGCGTCAGGCAATTGGTAATGCAACAATAAAATGAAGGCATATCGTACTGATTACACACTTGCCGCAAGTACAATAGGATTACCTATTTTTTACGCCGATGTATTATTAAATGAGATGGGCATACCACTTTGACTACCATTTATTTGTGAGAAATCAGACTCAAAACATCGCAAAATATTTAATTTATTATTTAAAATGTGGAGCTCAAAGTTTATATTTATCACCATCCTAGTTTTTAATTTATTAGTAAGTATTTTTTATTTATATACATAACTAAATAAAAATAGGCAAACTTTAACCATGTACACTATGTATTCTCCTACATTACTAAAATCACCTGGTCCTTTAGAAATTCATAA